GTCTTCCGCACATTGACACTCTCACTCCCAGAGATCGGTCTTATGCCACGCGCAACTCCTGCATGGTGATTCCGCCGCCTCTTTGTACTACATCTAAGCGCTCCCTCTTCTTTGCTTCCAAATATGCCTTCCTTTGGAATAAACTTCCGCCTGAAATTAGATTATCGCCTAGGTTACTGATATTCAAGTCGAAATTACGCAACCATCTTACACCGGAAAGCATAAAGGCACTGTTAACGGTTTCATTCCCGAACACTCAGATTCTTGACTTCGAGAAGGGTCCTCCTGGCATTTAGTGGTAGATTAAGTGGTAACTCTTAATTATATCATTAGAAACCCCTGTTTTAATTGGTTTCTAAATCCATCGCTATCCTTCCCCCCATAGCGACAATTTTCGCGGTTTTTGATGTCATCTCCCGCATTCCGATCTCATGCGGTCTGTCGACGCTCACGGCGGAACCCTCAGTATTCACTGTCTACTAGTAGTTCGGTCGTACCTCCCTTCCTCACTGCTCGGCTGAGCTCGAAGCGTGCTGTGGCCGATCGCATCTCAGTTCCTCTCGTCTGGCCTCTTTCACGCGGCGTACCAATCCGGCCCAGACGACCTGATTTGTGAATCCCGTATACAATGCCATTTGCAAGGCAGTCCTGTCTGACCCACATTCGTACCCATCAAGGCGGACATTTATTGATACCCTGACGATGACCGAAAACATTCCGTTATATACCGCCACCTACAGCGACAATTTTCGCGGTTTTTGATGTCATCTCCCGCATTCCGACCTCATGCGGTCTGTCGACGCTCACGGTGGAACCCTCAGTATTCACTGTCTTCTAGTATTTCGGTCGTACCTCCCTTCCTCACTGCTCGGCTCAGCTCGAAGCGTGCTGTGGCCGATCGCATCTCGGTTCCTCTCGTCTGGCCTCTTTGACGCGGCGTACCAATCCGGCCCAGACGATCTCAATTGTGAATCCCGTATACAATGCCATTTGCAAGGCAGTCCTGTCTGACCAACATTCGTACCCATCAAGGCGGACATTTATTGATACCCTGACGATGACCGAAAACATTCCGTTATATACCGCCACCTACAGGCCAGTCCTGCTCGCTTTTTTCTGTTATTATTTTTAAAGAGGGGTTTTTTCTCCTGTAAAATTAATCCAATCATTTTTAACTTTTTCCGAGGAGTTTTTTTTTTTCACCCCTCAATCTTCATGTTTCTCAATGAACTTCTAATTCAGAAACTATGAATTGCATTTTGTAAAGATTCAGCCTACCTCGTCTAAAACTCGCATGCAAATTTATTTTAACTTGCTTTAATGGGACCCCGACGGGTCTTTAATAAAAATTATCTATCTATCTATCTATATTGTTTCCTCGGGTGGGTTTGTCAACTATTTGTGTCCAGTTATTAAAGATAATTGAAGACAAGAATTCTTCGTGCCTGGTAGGTGCTGATAATTCGACCCAGTCTATTTCTGGGCGGTTTAGGTCGCCTGTAATTATCTTATATTCAGTTTTTATGTTAACTATATTGCTTATTAAGAGGTTGAGGCTTGTGTCATCACTACTACATTCAGGAGGGGAGTAGAGGCATCCAACTAGTATGTTTTCCTGGGCATGAGATTTTATTGTGGCAAAACACGCTTCTCAAGCAAAGGTTTCGGTTGGGACATCAATACAACTTTGCTCAATGGTAGTTTTGATGTAGATAAGACAACCTCCGCCTCGTTTATTAACACGGTCCTGTCGATAGAAATTATAATTTGGGACATAAAGCGAAACTTTCGATATAAGTTCATTTGCCCATGTTTCTGTAATGCAAATTACATCAGGGTTATATATTTCAACGAAATTTCTAAGTTCTAAGCAAGGACATAGTAGGGGGAATGGATGGCGCACTGGTCGACGTGAGGCACTCCAGATAAGCTGGCTTAAGGCGGTCAATGGAGACCGTATAAGACTTATCAGCCTTCTGAAGGACGTAAAACTCGTCTTTCCGCTGAACGACCTTATATGGGTCATCGTAGGGAGGACAAAGGGGCTTGCGCAATGCGTCATGCCGGACGAAAACAAAGGGGGCAGACCTAAGATCCTCGTGTACAAACACATGTTTCGATGTCAGACGAGTGGGGGTTGGACGCAGTTGAGCCAAACGTTGTTTCAACTGCTGCACGAAGGTGCTCGTGATGTTAGTGTTTGTCGTGGAAGGCTGCACGAATTCGCCGGGCAGACGGAGGGGTGTACCATACACAAGTTCGGCGGCAGTGCATTGGATGTCCTCCTTGACAGAAGATCGGATGCCCAAAAGCACAAGAGGAACATTGACACTCCAAGTAGCTGATTCTGTTTGGGACATCAGTGCGGACTTGAGTTGGCGGTGTAGGCGCTCAACGAGGCCGTTGAAGGCAGGATGGTATGCCGTGGTTGTGATGTGCGCACACCCGGGCAGTCTAGTTAACTGACGGAAGAGGCTAGATTGGAATTGACTTCCGCAGTCAGTGGTAAGGGTGGCTGGAACACCAAAAGTTGAGATCCAGTGGGTCAGAAAAACCATGGCGATATTTTCTGCCGAGGTATCCGAGATAGGAACGGCAATCGGCCATCGTGTGAAACGGTCAACTGCCGTCAGGATATGTGTGTACCCACGTGAAGGGGGTAACGGTCCGATTAAATCCAAGTGAACGTGATTAAGTCGAACGTCCGGGACCGCAATGGTACTTGGAGGGGAGAAGGTGTGTCGATACACCTTGCTAGTCTGGCATGCGAGACACTGTTTGGTCCAAAGAGCAATGTCGGAATTCATCTTTGGTTAGACAAAACGAGCCGCAATTAACTTATGTCCTGCGCGAATGCCAAAGTGGGAGAGGGAGTGAAAGTGGTCAAAGAAGACCTTACAATAGGGCAGTGGAACAACAGGACGAGGGGTGCTTGTGGACCAATCGCACAAAATCGTACCTGGTGACGCAGGAAGTGGTGCATCTCGAAACTGCAGAGTAGTAGACGTACGTAAGTCCGCGATGGACTTGTCTGCTGTTTGGAGGTCTGCAAGCTTCGCCAGGTCGAAATCGGATGTAAGTGTGTTGATGCCCGGACGGGATTATGCATCAGCAACGACATTGTCGCTGCCTCAGACGTAGCTGATATTTGCAGTAAACTGCGATATATAGTCCAGGTGACGAACTTCCCTGGGCGAGTACCGATCTGGCTTGGACTTGAGGGCGTAAGTGAGAGGTTTGTGGTCGGTGTAGATCGAAAAGTCGCTGCCCTCTAAAAGGTATCGAAAGTGACGTATGGCCAAGTAGATGGCAAGGAGCTCGCGAGAGAAAGTGCTGTAGCGAGTCTGCGCCGGTTGTAGCTTCTATGAAAAGAAAGCTAAAGACTGCAACTGGTTATTCACCTGTTGATGCAAGACTGCGCCGACAGCACTGCTGGAAGCGTCAGTGGTCAAAATGAGCTGTGCATGAGCGTCAGAACTGAGGTGGTGCAGCATGGTGGCATCGGCAAGAACCTTCTTCGCTTCCTCAAAAGCTGTATGGGCTGCCGGTGAAAGTTCAATAGGTTTTGCTTTCGACTTCAAAAGGTCGGTCAAGGGAGCCAGAATTGCCGCACAATGGGGAATAAAACGTCTGTAATAGTTCATAAGGCCTATGAGACGTCGCAGCTGAGCGAGTGTGTTGGGAACAGGGAAAGACAAGATGCATTGCACCTTCTCTGTAAGTGGAGTGATTCCGTGCTGGTCGACGTAATGGCCAAGAAAATCGAGAGAATTAACGCCAAAAACGCATTTGTCGACGTTTAATTGCAAACCGTGTTGCTGGAAACGATCGAATATGAGGCGTAAATGCGAGGCATGTTCTTCTGCCGAAGAGCTTGCGACGAGTATGTCGTCGATGTAGGCGTTAGCGAATGGAAGGCCTCGCAAGATCTCATCGATAAAGCGCTGAAACGACTGGGCAGCATTGCGCAAACCAAAAGGCATGCGAATAAATTCGAACAGCCCAAAGGGTGTCGTGATAGCAGTCTTTGGGATATCTTCCTCAGCGACCGGGATCTGGTGGTACGCCCTGACGAGGTCTATCTTGGAAAAAATAGTTTTACCGGCCAACATGCGGGAAAAGTCATGACTGTGAGGAATGGAGTACCGGTCAGGGATTGTGGAGCTGTTTAGGGCTCGATAATCACCGCACGGTCTCCAATCGTCAGAGGACTTCTTTGGCACCATGTGCAGTGGTGAGGTCCATGGGCTAGATGAAGGGCGCATAATACCCAGATTCATCATATGTTCAAATTCGTTCTTTGCAATTCGGAGCTTCTCAGGGTGGAGTCTACGCGGAGGAGCGTGCACTGGTTGCCCTGCCGTGACAATGTGGTGTTTCACTCCGTGTTGAACGGCTTCGGTAAAATGACATGGTTTAGTCATGGACGGGTATTCCTTCAAAATGTCAGCGAAAGGGGTGCTGGGGATCGTGAGATGAATGTCAGCCGAAAGTTCAGAGCTAATGGTACCTATGGTAAAGAGTTGGGTGGTTGTCTCTGGGAGGCGACGGTGTCTGACATCGAGTGTTAAGCCGAAAGATGACAAAAAGTCGGTCCCGATAATAGGCGATTTGACGTCAGCCTCAATAAAGACCATTGAAAACGTCGCCGGAGACCCAGATCTAAGGTGATGGACCGTTGGCCGTAGGTGCTGATTGTAGTGCTATTTGCAGCCTGCAATGAGAATTGCAAAGGCTTGAGGCGGTGACGCCTTAGAGGCGGGATGACACTGACCTCGGCACCGGTATCAACAAGGAAACGGAAGCCGCTTGCCTTGTCGTTGATATAGAAAAGGCGACTGGGTCGCGACGGGCCAGCAGCGGTCGTCGCCATTACTGGCTGGCGTGGTCGTTTAACTGTGAAGGACGAGCGAACGCACAAGGAGGTATGCACTTTTGGGCTTTCGGGACATAAGTGCGATGATACCAACATAATGGTTCTGAAAGCCGCTCACGGGATTTAGACCGACGATGTGAGTATGGCTGTTTTCTAGCCGATTGAAGACTGTTAAGAGCAGAGCACATGTTGCTCACCTGAGTGCAAAGGAGGCGCACAGTGTCTCTTAGGTCGTCGTAATCGGTGCGATAAGCGTCGGTGGGTGTTCTGGGAGGACCGGCTGATGTGGGCACTCGTCGGGTTGTGCAACATTATGGTACTTTTTCCGTATAGGGAGTGTCGTGCTCTGATAATGCTGAGCCTTCTAATGGGGCTTGCCTTTGGAAGGCGGGGGCTGTTGAATAGTGGAACACGAGGCACCAATGGGGTAACACTCTTTGATTCTGTCAGCGTGGGTAACTAGCTCCTCTGAGGGTGTCTTCGAGTCTAAAATAGCCACAAACTTTTGCATTGGCACCGGTAAATTTTCTAACCAAATCTCGCAAAAAATGGCGTCGTTCATGTGCCTACCAGCGAGAAGTGAGCGCATGTGACGCATGAGCTGGAAAGGAGTCTGATCACCTAGCTCTACTTGCGCGAAAAGTTCCCGCAGCATAAGGTTGGCCGATTTAACCACCCTTTGGATAACCGCTTCCTTCAGGCGCGTATACGGTTCATCGAGCAGTATCACGTGAGGGAGAGTACGTGGTTTCTCGTTCACTTAAGCCCTCTTCTTTGAATGTCAACACTACCGAAAACATCCGAATCCACAATAGATGTTTTAACTGGCGGACAACGTCATGTATATTTTATTTGACATGCTGGGCCTACTCGTTCGGCTGTGCTTTGGAATTTATCTAACGTCCAAGGCGGTCAATGAGCGGCAATAGTAGTGTATCGGATCGTAAGCGACATGCCGGTGAGTCCGTGGTTAAGGGCGCTGAACTCCCTACTAACAGGTCGTGGGTTCGAAGTCCGGATTTCGCATGTCCTAGGGTTGGGTGTGATTGGCTTATGACAGCTAATAAGTCAGAGGTGACCATTACAGTCTCGCTTATCCTTGTTGGTAACGTTATTATCTCCACCATGACCTATGAGCGGACTGCGTGAATAATCGATATTCCCCTATCTCTGATTCACCCAGCCCCACAACGGTTATTAGACCTTGAATGCGCTAGCATCATGTTTGCAGATAATATAAAGATCTGGAGAACAATCAGCTGCGTTGACGACGCGGAGAAACTACAGGAAGATGTTAATGAACTGGCTGCGTGGTGCAGCAAGTGGCCTCTAGCGTTTAACGTATCCAAATGTGTAGTCTTGCGACTAGAATCTGGCCGGAGGCTTTTTCCAAAACACCATTACACCATAAATGGGGTTCCACTAAAAGAAGTGGATACGCACATAGACCTAGGTGTCTGGACATGCTCAAACTTGCTGCCCTCTCAGCACTGCAAAAGAGTCGCCCAAAAGGCAACCAGCATCATGCACTGAATTAGGCGTGCCTTCAAAATCTTTCCTCCAGAACTCTTCTCACAGATATTCGGCACGTTCGTCAGACCGCATCTGGAATGTAGAATACCATCATGCATGCCCTGGATGAAGAAAGACTGTGATGCCATTGGGCAGATGCAACGACGGGCCACAAAACTGGTGGACGGTCTCAGGAATCTTTCATACCCAGAAAGACTGATCCAGCTAAACTTGTTCCCCCTATCCTATAGACGAATGAGGTGTGACCTGTTATGGACATTCCGCATTATCCACGAGCACGAATGTTCGCTCAAAACTGAAGACTTCTTTGAATTCACGACCATGAGTCACCTGCGCGGTCATCCGTACAACGTCAAGCGGGGGCGTACACGCCTAGGCCATGGGAAGTTTTCCTTCAGCCAGCGTGTTGTTCGACCGTGGAACTCACTCCCAAGTGAAATAGTGGCATCTGACACAATGACTGTATTCAAAAGGCAGCTGGATCGTTTGATCTTTGATAAACGACGACTCTCACTACAGGACTATCTGCGGCCAGCTACAAATTTCAATTCTTGATTCCATTCCTGTGTAACACATCCCTGACTTTAAAAAAAATTTCCCTCTCAAACTATGCAAATGACTGCACTTTATGCTGATTGTATATAACTGTAGTTAAAATTTCAAATGTACATTGAAAAGATCGCCTGCAACACCCTTTGCAGTCTCGCACTGTAAAACGTTTTACATAAACAACTATGTTACTGACAAAATGTTAGTACGTTGTGCATTTAATAGTTATATTGTACGCACCGTTTACAATAGGGTCATCAAGGGCATTGTCTATCACCCTAAAATACACTATTATTATTATTATTATTATTATTATAAGCAAAATAATATCACCAACAATGAGAAGGCAGACTGGAATGGCCATTTCCAGCTTATTATCCGTCATAAGTCAGTCATACCCAGCTCCAGGTTTTGCAACCCCTGGGGCTCGGACCTGCGTTTTGTTAGTTGGAGGTTCGACGTCCAAACCATCGAGACACGGGCCGGTTGTCCTGTCGGTCGCAGTTCTGCCTGTCTTACTAATCACCGTGCGGCTGCTGGCAGATCTCGAGAGTGCACCCCAAAGCACAAAGCGGGACGTGTCCCGTAACGGGATCGGCGAACGTCCCTCTACCATGGTTGTGCGCATCCAACAGGTTCATCCAAGATACATATCAGAACGAAAATTGGTGATATATGTTTTGGGTAGAAAAGCAACATCAAGCGAGCCAGCAATTCGGAAAATTTCGCCAGGACCAGGTTATTTCCTCAGCAAACTCATGTCGAATAGACATTTATGTCAGAAGGACAAAGCAATAATTTTTATCAGTGGCAAGTTTCGTGTGGGGAGATTCGACCCACAGCAACAAAAATGATAAAGGGGAAGCACTAAAAGCATGTATGCCGACAGTTGAAGTAGGTAGGACACAGTGAAGTAGAAGCTGTTTCCAAAACCTGCCCTATGAGAAAAATTTGCGTCAAACGCAATCATCTGTCTTCGCCGACAAAATTATGTCTTCTATTAAGATTTGAAAACTCAAAAAACATCCCCTCTTCGCTTTTAGCCAAAAGTTTAAACGAGTTGGCTGATTTTCCGGCGGAAGAGCTAGCCGAATACATTCTTTCCTAATGTATAAATATTGGGGTCGCAGTTAGGCGTGATATGGTTCGCGTGAAAGACGGGATGCGGAATACGCAACAGCTGGCATTTAGCGTAAGGCCACGTGTAGCACAACGGAAGGTCCTCACACCTGTGTCCATCATCAGAAACATGTAGATTTTCTGAAAATCTTCGGTTTAAGCGCACCCCCCGTATAGTTATTTCAGAGATTTCTGGCTTTTTAATGGCAAATAAGTCTGTTGGCAAATAATTCTGCCGATTTCTATTGCGCAGCTGGAATGTTATCTGGGAGTGCCTAGACAAGACAATGTAATTCTTCGAGACCTTAATTGTCATTCCAACATCAGGCAAATTCTGTTGGACTATTCTTCAATCCCAGTAGAAATTTCGTAACGAGCTTTTTGCCTATGGATAGGTGGGATAAAACCGAAGCTTTTTCTTATCTTACCTCAGCACGCAGCATTGCGTGGATTATGTCGGCCTGCATTAAATCCTCCCAATCCGTTTCATTATTCACCATCTAGGATAAACGATATATTAATTAGCAGACGTTTAACTGCTGCACATACTGAGAGCCATTCACTCACAAATGACTGTTTAAAAATCGACTTCCCGTGGTTAGAGCGTTAAATGGACTCCAGCCTTGCCCTTGTTGTAGTACGTTCGAATCCCACTAAGGCCGCAGATCTTTCCATAACTAGCTCAAGTAAATCTGCCGAAACACCTATTGAAACTGCAATAATTGGTCTCTAAGTCGTGGTTCAAGGACATTTAACCTCGCCGGCTATTATTTTCTCGACGGCGGCTCCACTGCATTTTTAGATCGAGATGGCCTTGACACCCAGGATAAGCGCTCGCTCTTTTTATAGTTGCCACCAGGGGCCTCGTGTAAGCGAACGATGGTGGACAAAACGCGGTTAACAGCGATAGAGTTAGCAAGACAAAGGGAAAAATCTAAACTCCAAAACAGGCAAAGAACAAGGTTTGTTGAAAACCGCAGTGCAAGTACGCGGATACCCATGACGATGGGAAAATAGCAACGGAATCTCTTGTTTCTATGGAAGTCAACCGAGGCGAACCATCAACTTCTCACAGCCATTCCGCGTGTACAGTAAAACTCTAGGTTAGAAGTGAGGAAAAAAGCTCGTGGCAAGATGGAATGGGTAAGCACCACAACAGGAGTATAAAACCCCAGACGACTCCGGTGGATCTCCTGAAACCTTCAGCTAACAAGGCCGCCGGAAACAGAACAAATGAACCCCTTGATCGTCAGCACTGCGTAGTCATCCAGGGTCTATCGGATTTGAATTCTCCTACCCAAAGGAGAGGATTTCCGCCGACCTTGATATGCTTCAACACCCACTGAACAAAATGCTTAATTCGAATGAAAAGGCAACAATTCGCGCAACATTCAGTATGGGAAAGAATGTGAGCGAACAGTCGCAAACTGTGCGTCTACGACATCTAAAAATAGTTCTGGGTAGTAAAGAGGAGGCTAGCTTACTACTGTCCAGGAAAAACAGCCTCCGAAACTATCACAACGAAGCTTTCCTTCGGCCGGACTATTCTCCAACGAAACTTCTGAAAGACCGCGACTTAATGACGGAACTGATGAGGAGACTTGCAGCGGGAGAGAATAACTTGGCTATTTTCAGGCGACGAGTTATACAGAGGAATGCGTTGTTGCTTTGGAACGAGCCAGTCATCATGATCGCGGCAGCAACATAATATTGGCAAACCCGTGACAAATTCAACGACGCACCGTCCAATGTTGCAAGCTTAAATTCTTTTACACCAATGCTTAGTGTCTGTTTTC